GGACATTTTTTTTTTTACATTAGGCCAAGGGAAAGGTGAATGATGAAAAGTACTGATTATTCTTGTGACTATTTGAAGTACCAAAGTGAGAAATCTGCATCCTGAAATAGAAAACAAACAAATGCAACCAATGTTCTCATAGCAACAAAGCTAGAGCCACTGAGTTCTCACCTAGTCCATGATAGTGTGGAAGTGGTTCTGTTAACATTCATGGCTATGAGTGGCAACTACCCTTGCTTAGCTGGAGCCTTGCTTCTCTGCTTATCTGTTCTCTCCCTCTTTGATCTCTGTCAGAATATAATGTATTCTTTCCATGTCCATGTATTTCACAGTCTGTAAACCCATTCCTTAACACCGATAATTTTGTCCAATAACATTCAGCCTCATTTGTTAGGGGTTTTGAATTTTGTAGAAACAGAGAGCAACAAAGAATTGGAATAAGTAAATCCAATCTTAGTTAGGCCAGCTGGTAACTCTGGGATCTTAGGAAAACAATATAACATACTTGAAATACAATAATAAGACTATGTTTTGAAAAATTTTTAAATTAAAAAATATAACATTTAATTTTACATGAAAACAAAAATTGTACCTATTGAGATAACTTGTGTTCAAGATATGTATTCATTCTGTAATGTTTATGTAAAGTTGAACATATCTGTCTTCTCAAATATTTATTATTTCTCAAATACCTATCATTTCTTTATGGTAAAATTTTCCAAATTTTTTCTTAGTTTTTAAAAATGTACTGTACATTATTATTGTTTTATAGTCATCCTACTGTGCAAGAGTAAAAAAGAAGAGAACTTCTTTTTCCTATCCTAAAATAACTTGGTATCCATTGATCAAACTTTCCCTATCTCTCCCAGTCTCTGGTAACTCCCTTCCTATTCTAAAATTAACATTTTTAGATTGTACTTATGAATGAGACCATGTGGTACTTGAAAGACTGAGTTGGTTTAATATGTACACGTAGAGTCTAGATTACAACAGAGGCATAATTAATCCTGGCTAACTTCTATTTTGTTTATATGCATCACATGAAGTGTCAAATTATCCTGCATGGTTATTCATTTACTTTATTTATTAGATAATTAACTAACATGCCACTTTTATACTCATATCAGAAATAGAAATTTGTACTAACATCATGGAGGAAAAAAAAGCTAGTAATACAAATTAAAAAAATGATTCTTCTATGCAGGTAACATGCATTCTTAAAGGTTTTCATAAACTAATACACTAATATTCAAAATTGTGTATTCTATAAAACGTTTTAAAATAGTGAATACTTCTGAAATAAATTCTAGGATTTCTAATACAAAGTTGACTGATCCCAAGTTTTTACTTACCTTCCTTTTCCAAATCCCATGAAAAAGACAAGGAAAATGTAATTATGAGAATAAATTCATAATAGCACTAGCAAGCTGGATAGGTGCCATTAGAAAGCCAGAAAAGACAAGAATTCAGAAAGCTATGAAGCAGATGCTATCAACTTGAGAGAGAACTCATGAGAAACAAGAATTTTGCAACCTCATAGAAATGAAAATTGATATCTTTCTGAAAGCTGAATTTTCCTAGTACAACCATAAAAATTCTATTATCAGAGATACTGCAGGCTGACCAAAGAAAAAGGTTATGTGGCAGATCTCTGTTTGTTACATCATTCTCAGATTAAATCTGTGCATACAATTCTCGAAATAAGGAGGATGTTATTTCCAAGGAGAGTTGCAGATTTGGCATTAGGGCCAAAGAGACAGAACAGTGAGTGCCACAGGTGGGAAGCAGGCCACCAAAAGGTAAATCATCCTGCCTAGATTAAAGATACCACCCCCACCCCCCCACCCAGTACTAGAGGAAAGGTTTCCTGCTGTCAACCTTTGCTCTTCATAGGCAAAAGCTGGCTTTGTTTTTCCTGGAGGAAATCATCTTCTCTTACACACAACTAACAGTATTCTCAGGGCTAACTCTTCTCCAGTTCTGTGTCTTACATAGTCTCATCTTTTCACAGAAGACTTGTAGGATTACCTTTTTTTTTTCTACCAGGGATTGAACTCAGGGGCACTTAACCATTTAGCCACATTCCCCACTCTCCTCCCCATTGTTTTTAATATATATTTTATTAGAGATAGGATCTTGTTGAATTGCTTAGGGTCTCCCTAGGTTGCTGAGTCTGGGTTGAACTCATGATCCTTCTGCCTCAGCCTCTTGAGTCACTGGGATTACAGGTGTGCAGGACTACCTTACTTCAAGAAGAACCTCTTTGCTATTCTGTACTTCATCCCTCATTTATTTTTTTAGCACTTATTATAAATTGAACTTCTTTTATCTGACTGCTTACTTTTATTTATCTGTCTCTCAACTAAAATGTAAGCACCATCACTGTGACCTTGTTTTGTGTCCATGATACTCTCCCCTGCCTTGCTCAGATTTTGACACATACACACACAAATAATTACTCAACCAAAGTTTTTTGCATGGATATTGTATGAATAAAACACCTGTGGAACATTTCAAAATAAACCATGTTTCTAGCTACAAGGAAAATGCTATTTCTTAGAAATAACATAAGACATGTACTTTACTTTACATGTACTTTAATACAATACATGCATTTTGCAATACTCTAGAAATTAGTTACAAATAGGTAACAAGGAATGAACAAACAAAATATCCATCTAAAGCTATGACAAGTTAACTCTTGAGGTTAAACAAAATGCCACTGAGATTATACATTTTAGAAATGTATACAAACCACAGACTACATAAATAAACTGTTGGAGTGAGCTAGAAGTATATATTTTTTAAATGTGAAAGTTTAGGAAAATATAACTATTCACTTTAAGAAGCTGAAACAATTTAAAATGTAAAGTACACGACACAATAAAAACAAGAGCGGAAGTAGATTTCATCCATTAAACCAAAAATTGATTCCAGGGAAAGAAACAATAAAATAACAAAATTTGGAAAGTCTGGTTAATACAAGTCCTGTTGGTTTGCTAAGGATGCCATCATTGAACACCATAAAATCATGGCTTAAATAACAGAGATAAATTTTCTTACAATTCTGGAGGCTGGAAGTCCAAGATCATGGTGTCAAATGGTCTGGCGTCTCCAGAGGGCTTTTACTTGTCCAGAGCTGTCTTCTCACTGCATCCTAACATGGACTTGCCTCTGTTTGATCATGTCTCTGGGGTCTCTTCTGCTGGTGCTAATCTCCTCTCCTTACAAGAATTCTAGTCAGGTTCAATTAGAGCTCACCGAGTGGCCTCATTTTAACTTACTTACCTTTTTAAAGGCCCTGGCTCTAAACACTGTTACACTCTGAGATATTGGAGGTTAGAACTTCAAAGTATGATCTTTTTGTCAGTACCTAGCATAAGGCAACAGATATTAAAAAACTACATTAGTCATGAAAAGCATTGATATTAAAAAGAATTTAAATATCTTCATAAAAATTGCATTAAAATACTACTAATATATTAATGTTTTGTGCATGGAATCAATAAATCCCAGAAAATGAAAATATCCAAAATTGATCCATGAAACAGTAAAAAACTTGAATATTCTATTGACTTCAAAAAATGTAAATGATAATTAAATTGAACCCTTCATCCAAATTATTGCCTTTAAAGTCACCAGACCCAGACAACTTCAAGTAACATAGTTTCCTATACAAACATCATTTCTTCCCAGAACAGAAAAAAATAAATTTCTCAACATATTCTTTCAGAGTAATATCTTTGATTCCACAACAGAATAAGAATATTAGAAATACAATGTCTCAAGTTAATTCAAAATAATTATAAATATCCCCAAACACATTTGTTTATGAAAACAGAGCATAAGAAGATTAATACAACATGCTCCTGTAGTTATCCTAAAATGTAAGGAAGATTTAGCATTAGGTAATATATGAACATAATTAGATTAACATGGAAATATTGAATAGAATATAAAATAAAGATGCAAATGATTTTATTACAAGTTATTAGACATCTCTCACTTAAAAACAGTAATTCAGGAAAAGAACATTTTCAAACTTGAGAGACTGGAATTATGAGAAACATTATATTTAGAGTAGCAATGTGAGGAGAATTTTCTCTAAGGTAAATTGAAATTTTTGAAAAAACTCTGAATGCCCTACTCAATTCAATAAAGCCAGAGAAATTACATATAGAGTAGATTTGTCTTTGGTCAGCATTCTGATTTGGAGCAATTGTTTCACATGTAGCCTTAATGTGAACTTAACCTCCAGATATCAATATATAAATATTCCCTCAACATATACCTCTTCTTCTACACACACATAAATTTAAATATATATTTGTTATATTTTGAATGCATATTTGATGTATACTGAATATATATTTCTATATTCATATATATAAATATTACTTAAGGAATTTATTTAGAAATCCATGCATCTGTTTATAGTATACCAAAGGCAATCATTTATGTGCTTTAGAAATTATTAATTTATATATCAAGGGTCTGTGATCAAAAAAGCTATTTTAAGCAGAAGACTTTAGTAAATTTAACCACCAGTAGTTTGTATTACAGGTTCTATTTGTGTCTGTAGCAGCCTCAATGCAAATAGTGGTAAGATACTTAAGGATCAATTGAATGCTTGTTATTATTGGACACAAATTTGCTTGTAATATTGTTTGTTATTTTTAACATGTAAAATTATTTAAGTGTAAAATAAAAGCTGATGAAAGGACCTGAGGTCAATGTACGGCAACCCAACTGTATCCTTAGCATATTTCTTCTGATGACCACACCAGTGCTTCACACACTTCTCTCATAGTATATAATATACTTCTATGTATTAATAGTGCCTCCAAAGCAAATGCTCCACCATAATTGCATTGTACTTTCTAGGAATAGTGCATAAATGAATGTGCCAAAGATTCATTTGAGTTCAATTTCATACTCATTTTCCCCTGTGTTATATGGGGCTAGAAACTTAAATTATATTTCCTATTCTCTCTTGCCAGATGATGCCTGTTTAGATTTTGCCAGCGTGAAGCACTTGAAGTAGACTGGACTCTGAGAAGAGGAGGAACCATACTATTTATGCATAGCCGGCTGGGGGAGGTGACTGTTGGCTCCAGCACTGGGGGCAAGCCAGCAGCAACTGTGGGAGGGCTGACATCAGGCTCCTGCAATATCAGAGTGTGGGCTGCTAACTGCCTGCTTATCTGCCTTAACAGCATTTCTGTAGCACTCTGTGGCCAAGGCAGCAGCCTCAGAAATGGGCCCACCTTACCACTTCTTTAATCTCTGACCCTTCTAATCACTTTTATAGCCAGTTCCACTTATAACTATTCTTTGAAATAACCAGACTGGTTTCTGTTTCCCTGCCTGTACTGATATGAGATGCTAAGGAATCTGAATACAGGATGCTTAAAGAAGATAGATGTGAAATATGAATAAACTGTGAAGTATAGTATTGTATTTAAGATTTTGAGCTGATAAGAGCTGCATAAAAACTAGTAACTATTATTGATTCTGGTTACTTGCTGGACAATAGTAATATTTTAGAATTATACCCAAGCAAAGATTTCTTAGTTTTGGGAATTCAAATTTCTGATTCTCTTGTATGGGTTGTTATTTTGTTTCATTATCTAAGGATTTGGTTTAGGCTAGGTCTGGCAATCTACCATGTTCTTGTTCTACAGCCTTTGTAGCTGTGTTAGGAAATTATGTTTTGCTTTGGCATGTAAAATTTTGCAAATTGAAAATTTCAAAACACCATTCTAAAATTAGCTCTAAAAGGGAAGTTCTTCTTGGAAAGTTGTTTACCAATAATATATGACTCTCAATCAATATTCATCTCACTAAAGTTATTTTTTTTAATATTTATTTTTTAGTTGTAGTCGGACACAGTACCTTCATTTTATTTATTTTTATGTGGCACTGAGGATCAAACCCAAGGCCTCACATGTGCTAGGTGAGTGCTCTACCGCTGAGCCACAACCCCAGCACCTCCTGAAAGGTATTTTTGAAACTGATATCATATTAACACACATGCCTTGGAAAGCTTCAGATATCACCTTATTAATGCCTAAAAATCCTATGAATTTTGAGAAGTTTTAAATTTTACCCAAGTTTGTATGAACTGATTTTGTTTTTGTCATTACAGATTGTATCAGAAGCCAAAAGAAGCCATGATTATTGGGAGAAAGGGCTGGGAGTGAGTGTGGAATGAAGGGAAGAGTATTTCTATATAAGAGTTTAAATAGAAGAATTGCAGCATGGAGTTTTGTGTGAATAGGATGGCAGAAAGGTAATGTAGTGAATAGGTTTTTTTGATAGGTGGAAAGTTTACTTATTTGAAATTGGATATAATTTCTCTAAAAGTGTGCTCCAGATATATTGATCTGTTTCAGATATGTACTGTTTGTAAGTGCAGAAATAAAATACCATAATCATTAACCAGGAGCCAAACACTTTATCTTAAGTGTTGAAAATGTCCTAATAAGTAAACAATTCCTAGAAAAAGAAATAATGTTATATGCTATATGAGATTGTTTTGAAATATTTGGATTTATCATAAAGTCTTTTTTGAGTAATACATACTTTTAAACCCAAACATTATGTGTGTGTGTATGTGTGCGCGCATGAGTGCATGTAAATATGGCGCTATTCCTTGAAATAGATTATCTAATACAGAAAATGGTAACAAGTTTATTTCTGTTCTCAAAATTTCATGTAACAAGTCTTCTGGAAGTTTTTGTAGTGTTTAGTGAAGAGAGTTTGGCACAGGAATTGGGAACTGATCCTCTAAAAATGCTTTCCACTAATTTATATAGTCCAAACCAATTGTGTTGGCTCCCTGTGTTTGTTCGGGTGATGAGGAAACAAATATCAGACATTTTTTTTTCTGGGTGCAATTAAAAATAAACTTATTTATTGATGCTACTAAAATCTCAATTTTAAAATTGATAAAAATGCAAATAATTCTATAATACAAATCCTGAAAACTGAATATAAGACGTCTAAATTTATAGCCCCCAAACAATTCAATAGAGGATGTTATCATACTCCATTCACAGTTGCTATTCTGGATTACATGAGGCTGTTATGGTTTAAATATGTGGTGTCCCCCAAAAGCTCATGTGTGAGAAAATGCAAAAATGTTAAGAGGTGAAATCATTGGGTTATGAAAGCCTTAACTCAATCAGAGCATTAATTCTCTGAAAAGGATTAACTGGATGGTAACTGAAGGCAGGTAGGATGTGGCTGGAGGAGGTGGGCATTAAGGGCATATCTTTGGCATTTGTAGTTTGTCATGAGGAGGAGACTTTCTCTGTGCTTCCTGTTGTAATGTCCTCAGCTGCTTTCCTCACCCTTCCACCATCATGTTCTGCTTCACTTCAAGCCCCAAGGAATGGAGCCAACCATCTATGGACTGAGACCTCTGAATTGTGAGCACCCAAATAAACTTTTCCTCCTTTAATTGTTCTTTTCAGGTCTTTTAGTCACTATGGTGAAAAAGCTGACTAAAACAGAGGCACAGGCAGTAAGAAGCCTCTATTATCAGGCTGCTTTCACTCTGGCCGTGAACAAGTGAATCTGCAGACTCTTTCGTTTTAGTTTGAATTGACTCTGGTTTTGCACAGCAGAAGCAGCCACTGGGAAATGGCCCCCTTCTCATTGGAGGCTTTCCAGGCATTGATGAAATCTGACTATATGTAGAGCACTAGCTACAGCGAATTCTGGGAAAATAACTTCCCTGCCTCTGAAGTACAAACATATAAGTGGAATGGAATGAAGATACTAGAGAATCATAAACAGTATGTGGTTACAACAAGAACAATGTAAGAATTATTTTAAATCATGAAGAGTTGAGATACACAGTCTAAATCTGTTTCTATTTTTCACAGTCGATTGCTTTATTATTATTATTATTAGATTTATATAGTTTTTAGCCGGTAGGGGGATTTGCTATGGAGTGCTCTTGGGGAAATAGAAGATAAGGAGGGAAAACAAGATTGGGTGGAAGAGAAAACTGACCAAGGGAGTAATGAGTAGCACTTAAGTCGATCACTTGGATGCCACCTATAATTTTCCATGCCTCCATTGCACGAAAGTAACCAACTTTTTTTTTTTTTAACAATAAGGGTCAATAACTCATTTGAGAATGGTGACTGCTCTTGTTGCCTGCTAGTGCTTTGACATAAATTGCCTAAGTATTTAGATGCAAATTATAGCCTATAGTTCAATGGGACTATTGCCAAACCTCTAGCAGAAGTATTCACAAACAAAAGTATTCATTGCTTTGCTAGGATTAGAAACATTTTTTGAAAAAATTATCCAGAAAATGCAGAATACCCTGAATTTGAAAGGGAGTAATAGTAAAAACTGTGCTACATGGTTGTTGTAATCACTTATAAATCATTGAAAACAAGTATGCAACTATTGTTGCAGAAGAAAGTCTGGTTTAATATAATAATACATAGTTGTTTTGATGGAGATGAAAATGTTCTTTTGTAGTATTTTGTTATGGTTTGCTTGATAATGAATGGCATGTTAACATGATGTAAAGTTATCTTCCTTTTGGGAATATTTGTGCATGTATATTAGGACATCATGCAAAACAAACATTTTGGTAGATATGTAAGCACTGAGGACATTTCAATTTTTCTGCAGTTCAAAAAATCATTTTAGAGAAGGTATAATATCATTATCCCAAGCTTGTGGAAAAGCCAAAACAAAGTAATAAATCCATTATAAATAAGTTAAGAAATTCCTGCTTTGAGAATGTACTCTGCATGTCTGCTAAAGAGAGAATATTTTCCCTGAGTAGTATTTTAAATATTATTTCAATATCAATAGTCCTGGCGCTGAATGAATTAAAATTTCCCAAAGAGATTCCTTTTGAGGAATCAAAATTCCTTAATGATCAATGAGAGAAAAAGAAAAGTCTATTATATTGTGAAAGTATGTATTTTTTTTTACATTTGTGTTCTTATAGATGTTATGTACTTATATATTATGTGTTCTATGTATATAGGTGAAAAGAAGTAGTCCTTATCTAAAAGTGCAGGTGCGCCTGAGGTTATACACACTGTAGACTGAGTACCTAAGGTATTTTCTGTGTATGATTAGGGGCAATAACTTATTTTAAAAATGATGACTTCTCTTCTTGCTTGCTAGTTCTTTGACACAAAAGCCCAAGTGCTTAGATAAAAATTATAGTTCAATGGGACTCTTGCCAAATCTGAAATAAAATCATGCACTTTTTAAAGTGAAGTCTAGAGTTTATGACTTCCAGGCTTTCTTTGTAACATTCTCATTTTTTTCTTCATTCCGGCTATTATTTGCCAATGGATTCATTTTAATTTTTCCTTTTCTATTCAATTACAGCATTAGGTTAACTATCTCCAGTTCTTCAATCTTGTTTCACAAATAAGAGAACATATCTACAGTGAATTCAGGTGGAGCCACATTTGTAGGATATTAGAAGGTTGTCTGCATCTGGAAGAGGTGTGAGCATTATACTCTCTTGACATTTCTTACAAATGCATTATCTTTAATTAAGGAAACCTGATGTAGTCATTTAATTGGGTACTCTACATTTGAATTCTTAACTTTTGAAAATAAACATTCCTGTCAAGCCAGAATAGAAAATAGAATTTGTAAAGTTGAAAATTTTGTATTATTGCTCTGACTGATATGGATGGGATGTTATTGGAACTAAAAAACAGCTCAACACTAATAACCATTTGTTTTAGATTCCAGATCTGATTATATAAAAGTGCTTTTTTCTAATACTTTAAGGATCATTATTTATTCTTATCCTTACTTCAATAGGATCTTATAAAGTCTTTCTCAAATGGGTCACATTTCTAATTCTACTGTACTACTAATAGATTCTTCATTGAAGAAATGTACTAGAAAATTCTAAATATTCAAACATTTTTTTCTATTTAATGTTCAATCAATAAATTTAAACAAAAAGCCCTTCAGGGATACTAAGAGCCTATACAGGCATTACCAAAAAAAAATCTTTAATTTGTACTAGGCAAAAATGCATGACATAATTTTACATGAAAAAGCTAAAGTGAGGTCAGAGGTATAGCCCATGTAACATTTCTTCAAAAGCATAGGTCAGAAGTTCTTATGGATGGAGAGAGACATCTGTTGCAGTAGTAGACCTGGGGTTCCCTTGAAAATTGGACTTTTTGTCTGTTACACAACTTATTTATGATAAAAAGGAATATATGCTTGGATGTTGGATTTTGGTAATGGTACAAAATAAAAGATAAATTTATCTTCACCGCTGGTGATCTAATCACCAATAAAATCAAATATTTAATACTTGATAATTCTTTTATGACTTGTGTAGTATGTTTTATTTCTCATAGTGTAGTATGTTTCCAGTGACAACAAGAAATAAAAGGAAACAGCTATGCTTAGCTATGCTAACTGTGCATTTTTTAAGATCTCAAATCAAACACCAATAACTCAGAAAAGATTTACCTGATATTAATGATCAAGCCAACTGCCTAAGTTTTATTTAATAATTTCACTATTATCCACTTCTAAATATTTACCACAGTTGTAATTCTCCATTTTTTATAATTGTCTGATGCCTGACTCCCCTACTACAATGGACAGAAATTTTGTTCTTTGGTTTTCTTTTCTCTCTCTCTCTCTCTCTCTCTCTTTTTTTTCCAGGAGTGAATTAGTTGTTCTAAACAAAACCAAAAACACAACAGCAAGTTCAACTATTCTGTAGACCAAAATTAGAGGAAAACATCTCCCAGTAATTTAGGCTGATACTTCAGAAGTACTCCAGAAGAGATGGAGGTGAAAGGATGATAGAGAACAGATCCAATACACAGGGGACGAGGTGGAAAGCCAAGAAGAAAAGCAGGGGAACAGAGTGGTATTGACTTGCTCAAGACAAATAAAGATTGTGGCATATTGTATGATTGGCAGCCTGGCCACTGATATTTTTTAAAGCTTCCTAGATGATTTTATTATGTAACCAAGGTTCAGAACCACTGGATTAAGAAAAGTAACATTCAATATACTTAAATTATGTAAAAATTCTACTTGTGTTCATAGTACTGTATACTGTGAAATATACTTTATATAAAGTTCTATGTAAAATACCTCCTACAAAAAGAAAAAAAAAGTCTTCTAAATCCTAACAGTTCAGAGAGAAAAGGAAATATGTATAGCCATAATGTGAAAATGTATAAAAATATATTTGTTAAATTGAATTCAGAGAAAGGATGATTTAAAACATTAAAATATTATTTCATATTCATATCGTCATAAATGGAAGGAACCCTAAAATATCAAAGGTGTGAAGAAATACCAACTTTTATATATTTCTGATGCTAATGTAATGATGAAATTACTTGAAAAACAATGTAGCTATACATAGAGAAGTTGAACTTGAGACCTAAAACGTCTTGGGTTTTCTTCTAAGCATATACTTTAGAGAAATTTTTGTTCATGTGAGAAAGGAAGTCATGTTCACTGCATAATTTTAAAGGCAACAAATTAGACATCTATCAGTACACAAATGAATTCAAACACTATCAGATGTATTATGATGAAATAGTTCTTAGGTCATGTTACAGTTTGGGTGTGAGGTAAATCCCCAAAGCTCACTTGTAAGACAATGCAAGAAGGTTTGGAGAGAAATGATTGGGATAGAGTCTTAACCTAATCAGTGAATTAATCCCTGATGGGATTAACTAGGTGGTGGCTGGAGGTAGGTGGGGTGTGGCTGGGGGAAGTGGTTCATTGGGGGCGTGGCTATGGCATATATATTTTGTGTCTGGAGCACGAAGACTCTCTCTCTGCTTTTCAGTCATCATGTGAGCTGCTTCCCTCTTCCACACTCTCCCACCATGATGTTCTGCTTCACCTGGAGTCCTGAGGAACAGAACTGGCCTTCAATGGACTAAGACCTCTGAAATCGTGAGCCCTCAAATAAACTTTCCTTCCCTAAAAGAATTCTGGTCAGATCTTTTAGTCCCAGCAGCGAAAAATGCTGACTAAAACAGGCCCATAGATTATTATCTATATGATTCGTAGTTTACTATCTATGTTAGTTTTCTGTTCATAGTTTGTAATTTACATTAGTTTATATTATAGTTTATTATGTATATTATTTAGTTTTTGCTGCATCATAACACAGTCTTAAAACTGATTTAAAGCTACATCCATTTGTTTAGTTCACATTTTTGTGGGTAGGTAATTTTAGCTGGGTTCACTTGCAAAGTTTTGTTGGACCTGTCTGGGCTTGACCAGCAGCTGCTGGTACTTGGGCTCATTTATAGATCTGGAGGTTGGCTGGCTGTTGGCTGGATGCAAGGCTGAGTTATGTGTCTCTCATCAGGAGTCAGGCCAGCCTATGCTTTTTTGCATAGTGGTACTTGCAGGATTTCCAACAACATCAAATAGTCAAGATCCAATGTAGAGGCACTTTCTAAGCTTCTGCTTATGTACCATTCACTAATATTCTGCTGGTCAAAGAAATCAAGTGGTCAATCCAGATTCAAGTAGTGATTTCTTAATAGGAGAAATGGCAAAAAAAAAAAAAAAATGTTGGCTTTGTTTTTTCCCAATTTACCCTTAGGATTAGTATTTTCAAACTCAGTTTTAGAAAAGTGCTTATGAGCTCCATATATTGAACATTCACCAATACCCCAAGCAGGATCTGGAACAACTCTCTATTTTCAATCCCTTTAGTGTTGCTACAGCAAAATTGATTATCGTTGATAAAGATAATAAACTGTATCTGTCAGTTCAAGTGTATTGTCCAAAAATTAGTACCAAATTTACAAACAACCAGTCAAATAAATAAATTTGGTTGTAGGGGGATTGGAAACTGAATAAATGACTGTAGACCTTCTGAATGTGAGTTAAAATTGGATCATATATAAGTTTTGGCATAGGTTAAAGACATAATTAAATGAAAGAAAGCAAGTTACATAAAAATATTTGCTGCAAACAACAATTATATAAAGTTTTAACAGAAAATGTTGTGTAGAGATACATTTAAAGGCATATTTTGATGAAAACAAAAATTGAAATATATATACAAATTTCAAGGAGGTAGTTGGTTCTGAAGAGAAAAATGATGACAAAAATATGTGAAGTGGAAAATAAATATAATTAATTTTCATTTTAAATCTATTTGAAGCAACAGAAACAAATACAAATGGAAATTATTATATGATATAAATGATAAAAAGTGAAACTCAAATGACTAGGGAAAATTCATACATTTACATTAATGGACCTGAGAACTTGAGGGACATTCAAAACATTAGATCCTGCTGGACACAGGGTTACTCCTGTAATCCCAGTGGCTCAGGAGGCTGAGGCAAAAGGATTGCAAGTTCAAGACCAGCCAGGGCAGTTTAGCAAGACCCTGTCTCAAAAATAAAAAGGGCTGGAGATGTGGCTCAGTGGTTAAGTGGGTTCAATCCCTGGTACCCAAAAGCTTAGATTCTTACACTATACACCAGAATTAATACCAAATAAATCAGATATTCTGTTGTTAAAAATCAAGGAAAACTGGGGCTGGAGTTGTGGCTCAGAGGTAGAGTGCTTGCCTACCATGTGTGAGACCCTAGGTTTGATACTCAGCACCACATAAAAATATAAAATAAAATATATTGTCCACCTATAACTAAAAAATAAATATAAAAAAATCAAGGAAAACTAGTACTTTAAAATTAATCATTTTTTTTTTATAAACTGAGTGGAGAAAATTTTCTGTGATTAAATTTGGTCATGAAAACAATGAGAAAGATCTTATGCTTTGAAATTGCTAGATCTATAAGACATATTGCAGGGTAAGAAAGCAGAACAATGTGTGTGGTATACTTCCTTTTGAATAACAGTAAAAACTCAATAGTGCAATGTACTGACATTTGCTTATGGGGAGGGAGGAGGCAAACAGGATGAAATAGCAATGAACCCATAATTTCTTGTAATATATGTGGCTTTGACTTTACAACCATTTTCACCATGCATTCCTAAATAAATAATTAATTAAAAAACATGAACAACAAAGAAAACTCAAAGTTCACTTGGTATCTTATTTTTGATAATATTGATATTATACTTTTAATGCATTTAATCTACATTGTAGTATATTATAAAAATTATATTTTGGTAATTTTGAAACAACATTTTCAATGAAAGATTGAAATATACACTAATATAAAATCAATAAAATTCAGAAGAAAACATTTTTTGTTCAAATTTGAATTTTACATACTAATATGAACTCATTTCTATTTTTTTTTTAAATCCTATATCCTGCTTTGTGCACTGAAAGAGCATAGAAATAATGTCAAAATATTCTTTGGTCTGCAATCTCATTTAGTGATCCTTTGTTAAAAACAGCTAGACAGCTAGGCTGGTTCCATAGTCTAGCTTTTGTGAATTGAGCTGCTATAAACATTGTTGTGGCTGTGTCACTAGAGTATGCTGATTTTAAGTATAAACCAAGGAGTGGGATAGCTTGATCAAATGGTGATTCCATTCCCAATTTTCTGAGTAATCTCCATACTGCTTTCCATAGTGGTTGCACCAATTTGCAGTCCTATCAGCAAGTATGAGTGTTACTTTTTTACCACATCCTCACCAATATTTATTGTTGTCTGTATTCTTGATGATTACCATTCTGACAGGAGTGAGATAAAATCTTAGAATAGTTTTGATTTGCATTTCTTTAATTGCTAGAAATGTTAAACACTTTTTCATATATTTGTTTATCATTTGTATTTCTTTTTCTGTGAAGTGTCTGTTCAGTTCCTTAGCCCATTTATTGATTGGGTTATTTGCTTTTTTTTTTTTTTTGGTGTTAGGTTTTTTGAATGAATAAAGAAAATGTGGGATATATACTCAATGGAATATTACTCAGCTATAAAGAAGAGTAAAATTATGCAATTTGCTAGTAAATGGTTGGAGTTGGAGAATATCATGCTAAGCGAAATAAGCCAATCCCACGAAACCAAAGGCTGAATGTTTTCTCTAATATGTGGATGCTAATTCACAATAAGGTGGGTGGGGGGCACTAGGGAAGAATAGCATTACCTTAGATTAGGTAGAGGGAAGTGATGGGAGGGGAGGGGATGGGATGTGGGGATAGGAAAAACAGTAGAATGAAATAGACATTATTACTGTATGTATATATGTGACTGCATGACCAATATAATTGTGCAACGTGCACTCAGAAAAATGAGAAGTTATATCCCATCTATATATGATATATCAAAGTCCATAAGTGCATTCTACTGTCATGTATTACTAATTAAAAAAAAAAAAAAAACTAGAGCCAGTCACAGTGGTGCATGCCCATAATCCCAGTTACTCTGGAGGCTAAGACAGGAGAATTGCACATTTGAGGCCAGCCTTGGTGATTTATAGACACCCTGTCTCAAAACAAAACAAAAAGGGCTGGAGTGCCACCTAGAGATCCTTCAAAAAAAGGTTGACTAAAGGTATAAGGCAGGATAGACCTGTGCCAGAAAATAAGGAAACACTAAAAAAATAAAGGCAGTTATTACAAGGACAGAGAAGTAAATTTACTGAGGTGGATTGCCCTAGTTGTTAGATTCTGGAAAACTTGTAGCACTCCAATGGTTCATACTCATGGAATAACTTGGTTACAGGCAAAGGAGACAGAACAGCAACTGCAGGAGCAGGGTATAAACTGAAAGGGATCAGATGTCAGGGTTTCTTTGTCTTTCCATTATTGGGGTTGCAGAAGATGTACAAATGGAGACAAATCTTCAGTTTTGAATCTGTTTGGCATGCTTTAGAGCATCTTGGCAGCAGAAAAGTCAATTTCGTTTGTGATGGGATCCTTTCAAATTAGGCAAGTCTCATAGGCACATTCTAATTCCACAATATCTTAATCATCAAATTTTCTAGGCTCCACCTTCAATCAGGTACAAAAAATAAATACAATTATTATTGCTAAACAATTGCTGACAGATGAATATGTCTTGACTCCAAACAAACCAAGTACCATGATTACAGGACATCATATATTTTAATATATTTCTTAGAGTGGCCAAGGGGCCACCCTGTTCTCAGTTGCTCTTGACCTAAGTGTAAGGTTGATCTAAATCAGCTGAGGTCAATGCTATGCAAAATATTCCCACTGGGCCAAATCAGGACATTTCATGCATCAAAAGAGAGGGTGATATCAACTGCTAATACACAAAAAAGCAGAAAAAAAATCATTACCCATCTCTTGGAATTAAAGTTTTGTTCACAAGTTATTATTTGCAGCTATTTTAAAGTAGCTTATGATAACATTTTAAAGCATCTCAAGAGTAGTAGAATGAAATTCACACACCCAGTGTTGAACACTTTGCCACATTTTTTTTATCTACATCTGCATCTTAACTGAAACATTTCAGAGTAAATTGCAGACTTCATGTTTAATCTTTAAACTTGTGTCTTGACACTTTTGAAATAAGGACTTTCTCTTTTATAACTGTGTCATTTTTCTCATATGAGAAAATTTTAATTCATTGAGTTCACAGACGGTATTAAACCTCTGCCCCTGAACAAAAATGTATTTTATTAATTTTTTTCTTGACCTATAACCATATGAAATATTTGACTTCAATTTTCATCATTTGGAACCATTTTCACTTTTTTCATGGCAGCTACTTTTTAAGAGAAGAACTCAATTTTCTAGTAATTAGTGATTTGGGGATTCATGTAATTGTTTGCACATGTTTTTTATGATGGCTGCAAATTGTAAGTTAGGTATAAATGCTTGATTAGTTTTTTATACATTGTTGCAAGTATATCCCATAGGAGGCACTGTGTTTTTCATACTGTATTTTATATATATAAAATATCCAGTGGCTTTATTTTTAGTGTTATTACATTTGATTGCTTGGTGCCAATATTTTGCATTTAGAAAGTCCTGTGTAGGGTAATATTATACACAGATCTGCTTTCTGTTCACCTTTCAACTAAAAGTTTTATACTAATGATCCTTAAATGAATCGATTATTTCTTTGGAGGCAAAAGAATTGTGATTTTTAAAATTCTGTCATTTTTTCTTCACCTTTTTTAGTGACTGTTATTACCTAATGGTAAGAGTTTTATCATCTTCCCTTGGGGTGAACTTTGTATCTTTAATTTCCAATTTCAGAGTAAAAAGTTCTTATAATAGTTAACTTTATTAGTAGAATATTTTTCAACATTTCCTTTTGACTTTCATTATGGATTTTACTGTGTTCTCTGTGTAATTATCAATTTCAGACATTATTTATTTTGATGTTTATATTGTACCTAATTTGGTGTTAACTTCTGGGTCTTGCATTCACTTGACATAGCATCAACAATTATTGAACTTGTCCTTGATTTCTAGCATGACAAGATGTCTTGCAATTAACTTGTGTTTTCCCTGACCCTTACTTGGAAAAGCAATTTCTCCATGCAGCTCTGATTTCTTTTGAGGCTGGCATTTTGCAACCAGTCAGATATTCTATTGCTTCAACTTACCTTCATGGGCAGAGATAGGAAATTTATTTTTAAGAATGTAGATATCATGAGTTTATATTAATATATTTTACTGAATTTTCTTTTATATTTTTAATATTTAAATTAATACATTAAAATAATTTTCATGTTATCCTAAGATATATTTGAATAGTTTCAAAGTTACAATGACAATAGTACAATTAACATACCTATGATTTAGGTTATTCCTTTGCTGGACCTTAAAATATATACCACTGAGGATATATAGAATAGAGTGTTTGAATGTCTCCTGGAAACAGTTCATGTCACCAAATTGATAAATGGCTAGGATAATTTATTTATATTCATTTGAGATTTACATTCACTTTTTATATTTTTAAAAATTTTTGAATAGCTAAAACATGCATGCCAAAATATATAAGATTTTATGTTTTAGGAAGTCACTTGCCCATTTTCATCTGTATTTTACTTTTCCTCTTGACTTCTGTATTTGTCTAGTTTGGCATCTGGTTTATACTTCCAGTGTTTCTTTTTTGTAAAAAGATATAAGTATGCCTATATTTTGTGTACTTAATTCATACATGTAAAGTGTATCTAGTATATGAATTGTTATATTTTTTTCCATTTACTTTTGAAATGCTGGAATTTACTGAATTGTTTCCTAGAAAGCAGATAAATGAACTATTTTTATTGCATTTATAATATGTATTACAAATAGATGCACTTATAACATATTTGATTCTACCTTTTAATTGTACTTACTACATTCAAAACAATTTTTATGCTTTAGTCTGTTTTCCCATCTCACCCACAAAAGGTGATTTTCCACTGTCTTTATTGTACACTTATGAGAAAGGGCTTTCTCTATTAAAGTTATTCTATTTACTTTTCAGCAATTGACATCTTATTACTCTGTTCTAGAGACTAACTGGTTTCATTAAAGTTTAAATAAGAGTCTCAAAAAATCCTATAAAAGTGCATTGATTAGTCAAAACAAGAAAAAGAAAATCAGCCTTACTCTGTTAAACATTAGCATCTGAGAAAATTGCTTAATAACTCTACATCAAAATTTTAATTTACATAATCAAAATATGCAGCTTTCCATGTGCTATTCATTTACATTTTCCTCTCTCATTACAGGAATTAAAAAAAATTGATATGACTATATTCAATTAAATTTGCAGTCAGATTTTGAAAATGAAAGAAAACATTGTTTTCAATTTTTGATATTAAGTTTTTTAAAATATAATAGATTTTTCTTTCTTTTTACCAGTTAAGGAAGCCAACTGACCTAGATAAAATTAGATATTTTTAAATGTTTTCCATTTTTTCTCTATTTCATAAAATTTAGCATGCAGATTATTTCTTTGACTTCAACTTAATCTTATTCATCTTTCCCTTGCATTTGAAAAATTACTGATTCTCAAAACTAGTTACAATTTACTACACAGGAATAAAGCAATCATAAATTTAATATTAACTAAATTTTGTATATGTTATACATTTTCTAAAATTGATCCAAATGTATGTGTAATACATATAAATATCTTCTTAAT